AAAATTTCCTTCATTCTAGAAGATTATACACACATAAATAAAAGGAGTTAAGATGGAGTTACCCTGGGACAAGAATAAATCTACTAGATACCACAGGGTATCAAATAAAAATGCCAGTGCCAGGAATGGGTTACCTCTTTTGGTGTTTGAACTGTTGTAATCTTCTGTTTGAGTTCCTGCCTTAATTATCACCAATGATGGACTATGACCTGGAAAGAAAATCTAAATAAATCCTTCTACCTTCTAAGTAGCTTTTTCTCAGAGTTTCATCACAGCTACAGAAAGGAAACTGAAGCATCCAGCTGTCTTCCATGACTTGACGTTCTTGCTGTTGCTACAGTTTGTTTTCTCCTCACTGACCTTGACCCTGTCCACAGCAGCGTCACCTGAAAGCCGTTGTCTTTCATTCCCTTTCTCCTCATCCTTTGTGAGTTCAGCACACTGTGGCTTAAATGATCACATTGATTCAGTCTTCCCATCAGTTTCTCTGTTAGTTCTAAGATGGGTGTTTATGATTCAAAAGGGATTGTATATATTGAGAATTTACACATCCAAATCCTTAACCTTCATGGCCAAAAGTTTATCCCAGGTTAAAACTCTGCCTATACAGAATAGGGATATTAAATCAAGCAGATGTTCTGTTGTGGTTTCCGGATGTCTTGTAACTGGGAAAGGCCATGCCCACCCAGCTGAAGGTTTGTGTACTGGCTGCAGGTGTGTGGGGAGCACTGTGCACTCATAGCACAGAAATAAGTGCCTGAGTCTGTGGTCTGAGAGGAGGAAATGTACAGAGAGCTGCGACGTTCCTGAGTGACTGTCGTGGACGTCAGTCTTCCACTCTGCTTTGTTCCAGAAGGATTGTAAAACAGGCTCTTCAGATGTCCCCCAGGACTTTGGTGAAACCACTGCATTTGGGTTGCAGTGGTGGAAAAGTTGCACTGCAGCTCTGCACGCTCTCCCTCCTGCAGAACCAAGGACACAGGACTCTGCTCCACTTGTTGACCTTTCACCCCTGGTTAGAAACAGAGAAAGAGACACAGATGGGGTCACTGAGCATCCACAGAACCCTGAACACACCCCATGTCCTCTGAGAAGGTGGGAGCTCTGCAGGACTCCTGAGCTGCTTCCCCACCCTCCATGTGCTGACAGAATCCTCTCTGTCCCCTGAATGTGGACAGCCAGACTCACAGCAAACCTGGGTGCACAGCAGCCCCAGCAGAGAGCACAGCAGCCTCTTCATGGTGCTTGTCTGGCTGCTGGAGACAGAAGCAAGGAACCAAGCCCTGGGCTGTGGTGTCAGGATGGCTGTTGAATGTCCCTCCTCCTGCCACCAGTCAGCTCCACCCAGGAACCCTGCCAGGCCAGACACTGCAGAGTTCCCTCCCAGCCTCCTGAGCCTGAAGCCCCTCCCAAACCAGACCTGGCTGAGAGTCAGGGCAGAGCATAGTGGAGGTGGCAATGTGGGGGAGGAACCTTTGGAGATGACCCTGGGGTTGTAGGGAGTTAGGAATCCAGGAAGCGGGACAGGACCCCACATTGTCTGGCACACTCAGAGACACAACACTAGAAGTTTAACTCAGGAAACAGATGCATGTTCTAACTAAGGACACTTTTCTGGGGCCTGAGGGATGGCTCAGCAGATAAGGGTCCTTGCCTTCCCAGGAGGCCTTAGTTTCCTCCCCAGCATCCACATGAGGTGGCTCACAGAGTCTGTATCTCAAGCTCCAGGGGACATGACGTTCTCTATGTTCTCCTCAAATCCTGCACACATGTGTCAGACCCACTCTCACACACATTTTTAAAAAGAATCTTCACCTGTGAAATATTGAAGTGAAATCACGGCAGTAAAAGAAAAAATGGGAACATAACAATAGAGTAAGGTAATGGTTTCATAGGTTTATAACAATAGAGTAAGGTAATGGATTCATAGTTTTATAACAATAGAGTAAGGTAATGGTTTCATAGGTTTATAATGCATTTAAAAATTGGAATACTCCTGCAACAGTCAGGGTTTGTGCTAAATGTTGTTTAAAATATGACCACGTAAGAAGGAAGTGGATTGGGGAAAGCTAATGTGGGAGTCCTGCATCCAGAGTGTGCTATTGCACGTGGTGAATAAGGGGACAATGCACTTGAGTTCACAACAATACAGGAATGCATTTTGAAGTTTTTCCCATAAAGATGACTGCTGGAGAAATTAGACCAGTCATAAGAAATACACAATTGTCTCAATAATAACTCAGAGCAATAGCCTTGCTTTCTTTGTACCGCCAGCTTCTGAATAATGACAGAGACTATCTTAAGTATGAAAGCATGGCCTAATGTTAGGCTTATTCCCAACTATCTCCTAAAACTTAAATTAACCCATTTATATTAAGCTATGTTCTGTCATGTGGCTCATTACCTCTCCTCCATACTGTATGTGTGACTTTCTTTGCGTCTCACTTCTAATCCCCTGCATCAGATTCTTCCCAGAGTTCCTATCTCTGCCTGGAAGTCCTGCCTATCCTCCCCTACCTATTGGCCAATCAGCTCTTTATTAAACCAATCAGAAGATGCCTTAGACAGGCAAGGGAGGACAGAGACACATCTTCACACAGAATGATCAAGCATTCCACAACACACATCCAACCTTACTCCATTTCAGCCCATCATTCTCTCGAACAGTATTAGACCAGCTAATGACTTCAAATACTGTAGGATAATTTCATAGAAATTTTGACTCAGGTGAAAAATGCTGTGAAGGACATTTTTTTAACCTGAGTCAAAATTCTACTAAAGGAGAAACCAGACATTTTTTTGCAAAATGAGAAACAAAAAAATGGCAACTAAGATCTATCCCATAGGAATGAAGCATTTCTCAAGATTCCACTTTCTCTTTACTGTTGCATTTATGGAACATGCCAACTGCCTAAAAGTGTCTGAGGCTGGGACCCTGGTTTTTTACTCTGAGGGTCTCAAGTTGCTTGTGTTCAGCTCTATACTTGTGACTCAGAACACAGGAGCACCCAACTCCCTCAGTCCCCCTGTCAGAGGATTCTCAGGTGGGAGGAGATTCCATCCTTCCTGCACTCAGTCTGAAATCCCTCCAAGCCTGAGACAGGCTGGCTCCTGGTGTGAGCTTCAGGAGGTGCTGGAGACCAAGGTGAGAGTATTACGTATGCAAGAAAGGACACTTAGGGACAAGGAATGAGTAGCTGTTCCTCAGGGCCTGAGCAGCTACTGTAGCTGCACAGATGCAGCCATCATCCTGGGGCCCTGTCTGGACTCTGCATTCTCCTGCAGCATCAGTGCTGTGTAGGGATCTCAGCCTAAAGGAGGGTCTCTGTTCACAGTGAAACAGCACAGTGCTCTTTCTATGGATGACACCCTAAAGCAGAGTGACAGTAGGCAGTAGAGATACTCTGAGCCTCAGGATGCACAGAAGGTCACCAAGGTGTGAAGGAAGCAGTTCACTGTTTCCTGAAGATTCCCAGCAAGCAAATACAGCCTGAAGAGTTGGAGAGGTAGACAGAGAAGTTGCTCCAAGCTCTAGCAGGTTTAGATACCTTCATCCTAGGGACACTGGGGAGACAATCCAGAAGCGACACTGTCTTTCCTTTGGCCTGTCTCTAACATCTGCATAAAATATGTTCTGTCAGAACACCTACTGAAACATTGGGGGAGGTTTAAAAACAAGTAACTATCTAGTAACTTCATACATGAACATAATGTATTCCGATAGTATCCACCACCATCCTGTTCCCTCTACAACTCCTCCCAGAACCCACTAAATTCCCCTCCCCTTGCAGAGGCCAGGAAACTAGAACAGAAGAGAGAGCTTAGGGGAAAGCCATAGGGTAGTAGAACACAGGTAATGTAATGTCAAAGGGGGCAGGAGAGGCTCTAAGCAGAGAGGGGTGAAGCAGGGTAGGGGGAGAAGGAAGGTTTCTGTGAGTTTATTCTAATCTGTGAAAACATCATTTACCTTTTAGAAAGGAGCGTCCTCTAGAGGCCCATTTGAGAAATAACAAGTTCACAGCTGCAGTAGACTTCCTCCTGTCTTTGCTGCCTTCTGAGTGTGAATTCAAGGCTTTCATCATGCACAAAGGAAGCTCAATGCTTTCTAAGTAGAAACTTGTGAGCTTTTAGAAAAGAAGAAGATAAAGTTATGGACCAAAATGGGAGAATAAGATATTTTAGAGTGAGAAAATTACAGCAT